TGAATCATCAAATTTCAGCATTTTCGCACAGGGTTAAAAAACTGAAAAATCATATCTTTTTACTTAATCAGGGAATTGTATTTGTATTTGGCCAACGAGTGTTAATCCATAAGAGCTACAATCTCTGATGTATTTTGTGCCTTTTTTGCGTTGCCATGGTAACGGTTTATAAGGAAACTCTGTCTATGGGGTCTAACGTCAATAATAACGGATGTTTTGACTTCCGCGACAAATATACATTGCCGATGTACTTAGAATGTGCTTACAATAAATATTTACTAATTCTTGAGAACCGTTTGTATAAGATTTTTTACAAATTTGCAAATCAAACCATTCCATTGTCTTGTAATGAGTCATGAAAGTTGTCATAATTGCCTCTAAACCCTATTTTCCTATTGTTACCAATTAAAACCTTTGAAAAATCATATCTTAAAGACTGAACATTGTTCAACGATGAAACTATGGACAGTCATGTAACTTTATAAGCTCTTTCATTTTACAACCTTTTCGCGAAATGATCCTTGTTTCCATGGCAACGGTTGCTAAGATGTGTTTTTTTGTAAGCAATGCCGCTTTTAAAGATCAAACAGAGATGTGGGTTAAATAAAGCAATTTAAAACAAAAGTTAATCGAAAAATTAAATTAGTTATTTTTTACCGGTTTGAGGAATGCTGAATGATCCCCTTAATTACTTTTAACTGAGTTTATGTATGGAATCAAAGTAATTACCACTGATTTTGTGGCCGACATAACGCGATTTGCTGAAAGTAGAACTGAAGAAACGGCATATTCTATAGATTTAACTGTCACCAATGTCTTTATTCAAGCAAAAGAAACTACAGGATCCTGTGCCATAGGTTCAATAGCAATCAGATATTACATGCTCTTTTCCATTTGCGTTTCACTTCAAAAGCATTACTACAACTAATTGACAATCTACTCCTCGTCATCACTCGGACACTCTAATTCATCGAAACCAGTGTGAGGATTTTCACAATCACAGGCCATGCAAGCACAAGCCTCTGTGCACGATAACTCATTGACTCTGCAAACGCAAGAAGCAGACTTGCAGGCTGTCTTTATGCATTTGCAGACAGTGAGCTCTGCTAATCTCTTTGGGGCAGCATCCCTGGTCATTAGAAGGGGCTTCAGGGAGCCGTCATCGCCCTTCTCCCACCCATTTCCCATTGGCTGTGGTAATTGCTGAAAGGCTTGCAGACATCGCTTCCAAATCATTGCTTGGTAATTGGCACGCTGAATGTGCAGCTGGAGACTGTCAGAGGTAGGCGGCAGTCCATTGTTTTTCTGTTTTCTCTGACAGAACACCCAGTACCTAGAAAAGACAAAAGCATTTTGAGGGAAGGATTTTTTTTGCTGCTGACATGCACTTTAACTAATAAGTTACATAAAATTAATGATTTGACCATGAGTATACCTTACATCATCTGCTGTTGTACCAGCTCTTGATGGGATGGCATACAAAGAGCTTATGAACACCTCAGCCGTCTTTGCTACACTTTGAAGTGGTGGTACGTTGTCACCTAAGCCCGCCAGATCTACATACACATCCTTTGTTTGTAATAAAGCTTTCCAATTTGATACAGCGCGCTAGTTGAGTCGCATCCTGCAATAAGATGGCAGAGATCCTCACCTAGCTTCTCCGCTAGACGGTGTACTGGTAGGAAACGAAGTTTGTCTTTAACACCAGTACAAAACCATAACTGCTGGGTATTGATCATGTTACATGCATAAACACAGAGAGCAACGTCAGTATCAGGGGATTGCACCACAATCCTTTGGTGGTCTCTTGAACAGTCACTTGCGTGCAAAAGCATTCTTGTGTCAGCCTCTTCATGATCGGATGATAAATGAAGCAAAGGAGTTTCTTGATTTTGAGTGATAGCGAACGTGTCATCGCTGTGAATGAAACACCCTGCCAACACTAATTTCTGGTCCCCTGCAAGCCTTGTCTTTGCCATCTCTTTCCACATACTGCCAAGAAACGCCTTTAGCTTGGTCTTGTTCACAGGGTTGGAGATGAAGTTTTGCCACTTCTTGGGAACTGGAGTGGATGGGCCCGATATTCGCACCTCAAAGCTTGATGATGATCCCCTTCGAGCATGCTCTGCTTCCTTGATCGAATCTTCCTTGTCATAGCGATCAAAAACTACATCCACACGATTACAGCCATTATTTCCGAGATGAGCGGGTTATCAACTGGAAGTACTTGTTAGCGAGCTCTCCAAATGTGGCCGAGCCTGCGTTCTTCATCATTTGCACCACTGCCATGCCATCTATGACATACGCAGTTGATATTCTGTCATCTACTGGTAGTCTGGGTAGCGCTAGTACTTGTTCCTCGAGTATCTCCAGGAACACACTTTTAGTAGTTTTCTGTAACGATCCATCAGGATGAGCCAGTGTGCAAGGGACAGAATCCAGCTAGTACTTTAACACTTCTCTCAAGTCGATATCCCTTGACCGTGAAGCTATCAAAAGA